TCCTTGTATGCTCAAAAGTTGTACGTGTGACATTGCTTCCCTACATTCCTGGAGTCAGCTGTTTGTCTCAAGCAAGTCAACAGACCGTTTTTCCGAGAGCTGACATCTCCGGATACGAAAAGCCAAACAAGAAAATTGATGTCCAAAATTCGAAGACGGAGACGAAAAGTTTCTCATTGTGGAATCCACTATGCAATGTTGTCATTAAATGCTGTACTAGAACAATATGACTGCTTATACATTATTTTTCTTAATTCATGTGGGGTTGGGTTTTTAAAAAAATATAATTTAGATTATTTAGGAGGTGGGGCGTTGATTCTGTCTGTCAGAGCCAACAAGGACTGAAAGGGATACAACGATCCAGCAGAGAGACTGAGATACTCGATAAAAATTGTCCCCAAAAGGGAATCGAACTCGGGTCATCTGCGTACAACAGCGAAGTGCCTTAGGCCGGTCCCAGAGTGGCTCTGTAGGTCTGACCTGTAGCTGGCCTGGCGCACGCCGCACTGTGGGTTGGCGCCTTTGTCTCAGCGAGCGCAAGGCACACTCGCTGTGTGTCAGCACTGCGCACTGTGTGTTGACGTGTGTAGGTGTGCAACTGACGGGTTTGCCTTGCTATATTTAGGTACTGTGTAATCCAAGACCAATTATACCAAGACGGGACAACTCTTCTTTACGTCATGTGCCAAGTGCCCCCCCCCCTCCCACACACACACACAAACACAAACTCATTTGCAGCTGCGCGCGGCGATAGTTTACATTAGTTACAAATAAAGGCTATAGATCTAGATCTGCTGATCATCTCGGGCGGCATGTCTAGCCGAGAGAGAGAGAGAGAGAGAGAAAGAGAGAGAGAGAGAGAGAGAGAGAGAGAGAGAGAGAGAGAGAGAGAGAGAGTATTAATTAATGAAAAAACGTGGATCTAGATCTAGATCTAGATTTTGTTGTGCACCCAGCCAAGGGTATGCAGTTCAGAAAGTAGATCTAAATCTAGGGATATCCCTCTGCATCTCAATCTAGAGAAGCACACCTAGCCTAGACCTAGGCTTAGCCTAGGCCTACAACAACAGTCGAAACTAGGTCAACCTCTCGATTCGAAGTTTCAAAGTATGATAAAGTGCATTTCTTGGTAATTTTGTGGCCAAGTGTTGATGCTAGCATCAATATTTAATAGTAAAGTACCTAATAAAACTTACTTCTTGTTGATTTTGATGATCTGTGATGAGTTTCAGTCGAAAATAAAAACGAAGCGAGGCGACACATGTCCGCCATTTTTACAACACTGTTGAATAGCACGTCTGACGCATCGCGCAGCTCTGCTGACAAAAAAGAGAAGATACAGCTACGCTGCTTTAGCACACGATAATGTATACATTATTCATTTATTGCACGGTGCGAGCCAGGAGAGCTACAGGTCAGACCTACAGAGCCACTCTGGGACCGGTCTAACCGCTACACCCCAGACTCAGGAGCATAATATGCATAAATTTAATATGATTTTTTAAAGAATGTGTGGAGAAAAACAAAACAAATCTCAGTATCAATGTCTGCATTTTCTCGGTTATACACCTCTAGGAACTGGACCATACTGTTATAATGCCAGGCGCGGTTCGTCCATAGAGCACGGTCGTGCAGTGCCGCTCAAAACTTTTCAATATTCTATTACGTTAAATACCCCCAAAAATAAAATAAAAGAAGCCAGAAACAAACATTAGCCAAATATTATATCAAAACAAAGGTCTTCACTGGCGCCATAACTGTAATTTCTATGTCTATATCGCCGTAAAACATCTACTAAGCAATGCCAAAGTCCACGCGATTTAACTAAACAGAAAAGGATATTCAACGGTGTAACCTGACCTATAAATCGCTTTTGGGGATAACCCAAGCGATGACGACACTCGTAGCGAGTTTAGCGGTAAATTAATATTAATGAGCCGGCACATCTCAAATGTGCTCCTGCCGAATAGAGCCGAAACATAGCCCACAGTAGGCACTCTGAAAATAAACACGATAGACCCTACGCTATTCTTTGACAATAATATGTGAGCCCCGGAGCAATCCAGCGGAGTGCTCAAGTTCACTTGCCTATTTTAAGTGACTCTGTAACCGGACCATCAATGATTTATTTATAGAGGCACCATTATTGTGCACGCCCACTTTTTAGCCCCACGAGCCGCCCCTGTACAATGCATATGTAATATTATAGTACTGGATTAGCACAGTTCTATTCCAACAAACAGTACATTCACAGGAATTATTTTCAGAAAGAAAGCTGCTGAATGAGATCCATGTCCGTTCGTGTAAGGATATACAATGACATTTTACTATACACCCAATAAATCACAACGTTTTTTTTTTAACCAGAATCTGCATTAATTTCCAGCCACGCGTTCGATTTCAGATGTTCAACCTCCCCCCAACCTCCTTCCACCACCCACCCCCCTACCGTCCTGCACTCCCTCCGTTATGTCACCCCCCCCCCCCCCCCCAACCTCCCAATTGTTTAAAAACTGCTGGCTTCCAACTAAACGAATGCATATAAACGTTTCCCATGTCAGTTCCAAATCTATAGTAAATTTGTCCAGTACAAACCCCACTTTACTTATAAAGTGCTTTCAGAAGCTCGATAATCTTTTCAAACCTCGAATGCCATCGCCGGGGACTACATGAAAACGAATATTTGAGTAGGTTCAAAAGAGTTTATATCTCAGTATGTATGAGTATACCAAACTGCTTAAAGACGAATATTATTGGAAAAATGATTAATGTATTTTAAGGGTTCAAAAGTAGTACAGTATAGAAAAGTAAACTAACAGGAAAATAGGCGCCGGTTAAAGTGCAAAGAAAGAGAGGTATGGCGAAAAAGCCGAAGAAAGAGAAGGCTGTGTTGTGGTAGAGAAGGAAGACGGATACGTGCTGAAGGAATAGCACGGCGACGCCAATGTCGACGCTGAAGAAGAAGAAGAAGAAGAAGAAGAAGAAGAAGAAGAAGAAGAAGAAGAAGAAGAAGAAGAAGAAGAAGAAGAAGAAGAAGAAGAAGAAGAAGAACAACAACAAGAAGAAGAAGAAGAAAAAGAAGAAGAAGAAGAAGAAGAAGAAGAAGAAGAAGAAGAAGAAGAAGAAGAAGAAGAAGAAGAAGAACAACAACAACAACAACAACAACAACAACAACAACAACAACAACAACAACAACAACAACAGCAACAACAACAACAACGACAACGACGACGACAACAACAACAACAACAACAACAACAACAATAACAACAACAACAACAATAACAACAACAAAAACCAACAGCAACAGCAACAATAAAAAAAACAAGGGGGTAAAGGTGGAGGAGGAGAGGCTAGGAGCGTTAACGGGAGGAGCAATAAGAGAAAAAGGAGCCGAAGGAAAAGGAAAAAAATAGGTCCCGCTTTTAAAATGACAGACATCGTACATGAGTCGGTATGATGAATAATTTGAAAGGTGATACAGATCTCCTTGCCTTGTGGAATTGACCTTAGGCTCTTCTTCCTTCCCTGAAAATTCCATCTTTAGCTTTGATTGGTGACGTTGTGTCCAATCCACTATTGTTCTTTCTTTTTTCTTGTTTTTGTTAGTTTCATTGTTATTTGTTTAATCTCAAGACTTCGCATAGTACGCAACAATAATAATGATATAACAATTTGCGTATGCCTTCCTTGAAAGGTCGTCACACTCATAGTGATCCTTACAGAAAAATAAAAGTGTTACCAAAAAGCAAACATAATACGGTGTATCCTATTTGCAAACATATCGCTTCTGTTTATTACATATTTTGAGGGGCTCACATTGAATGCATGGCAGGATCTGTGGTGTCGCGTTTCGGCGTTTCGCTGTCACGCGCAGGACACCCAAGTTCGATTCTCGACGGGGTAAATATTTTAATCGAGTATCTCAGGTCTTTCTGCTGGGATGTTATATCCTTCTCAGAAGAGGTGTTGATGGGCAGAGTCGGAATCCTGCCTCCTAAATTAAATGATCTAAAATCGCCTACATGAAAGAGTGTGCTTTTTTTTGTTTGTTGAATTATATGACTTGCGAAGAGTTTTGGAGTTCAAGAACAGATCTGTAATCAGGAAATCTTCAATTAAATAAAGAGGTTTGCAAAACGTCGTACTCTCTTCTTTACTGTTTCTTTGTAGTTTTGTTTCTCAAAGTACAATGCCCAACAAATGAGAACATTCTACTTGATGAGCAGATGAAGAACCTTCTGTTTGGCTGGCTTTTCTCTCCTTGCTGCTGATTGTATTTCTTTATTCTATTACATTTAACAATCGTCGTGTGCGTTTGTGTGTGTATGTGGGTGTGTGTGTGTGTGAGAGAGAGAGAGAGAGAGAGAGAGAGAGAGAGAGAGAGAGAGAGAGAGAAAGAGAAAGAGAGAGACAGAGATACTCAGACTGACAGAAAGACAGACATACACACACGCAGAGAGAGAGGGATAGAGGGGGAGAGAGAGAGAGAGAGAGAGAGAGAGAGAGAGAGAGAGAGAGAGGGGGGGGTCCACTCCAAAAAGGCAAGGGGGGGGGGGGTTCCCACCAAAAAAGTTTTTTTTTTAAATTGACACTTTTGTATTTATATCTTCAGATGGTCCTGTGATGTTGTCTATTGTTGCTGTCTTATACTGGTGTGTTGGTATAAAATGCTATCGTCTGTTCATTTGCTATCGACTGGAATTTTTCAGGAAAATAAGCAGGTCTCAACAACAACAAAAATATAAATATAGAACAATCTTTTAAAAGAAATCAGACAAAGGTTAAAAAGCAAGTTATGTGCATCTGTGTTTTAAAAACACACACGATAGTATCGCAGAAAACCAATTAAAGATCTTTTGAAACAGACCGACAAGTTAATATTACAAAATCTCTGATGTTAACAGTAAATAGTAACTCCGGCATAGTATTGCAAGACATATAGTACTATATGTATTCATTTCTTTATAGACTTGAAGATGGACAGCATTGTTCTCAACCTATTCCTGTACAGAAGAATTGGCTTGATATTCACTCCTAAAGACGGCCATACTTTGAGTTAGAGTTTCGTCAACGCTTAATCTTGTTCTGAACATGGCGTATAAACATCGTCGAAACTTTGAGCTCATATGAGTGTAGACAAAAATATTGAGTGATGAATTCGCCGCCTCAAACAAATGACAAACAGCCCAGACGATGGTGAACATGTTGTGGTAGCCTTTCCCTTTATTGAACTCCGGAGCCAGAATCATAGCCAGAAATACGGCGGTGCTAGGCAAGAGGCAGACCACGAAGAGAGCTGAAAGGAGAGTGACCATTGTGCTTATCTTTTGGTCTCGCGATGACGTATTTGTGTTCTGCGCTTTCGTCGCAGACTGGCGCCATTTTGTCTTCCACTTGAGTTGAGCCACCAGAACGAACGTGCAAACGATGACGATAAGGAAAGATCCGAGTGTGAAAAACAGGTTGAACCCAACGACAACGTCATAGACCTCTAGTCTGTCTTCGGTAAAGGAGAGTCCGAGTAATGTCTTATTTCTGGCGGGAAACCAGGTCCAGTCTAAGCCCGTTGTGGCGTACACGGGAGGGAGGGACGCACCAACCATTATAGCTAAACTCAAGTTCACGGCAAAGGCGATCCGGGGAGTTATTGCTTGTTTGACCTTTAGTGGCATCGCAACACAGAGACACCTCTCGAACGCAACGAAAGCTGTGATCCAGCTGGTGACTCGAGTCAGGTACAGCTTGGGCCATCCTCCCGAGAGATAAACAATTGACAAAGTGTCGAATTCTACGTCCGAGTAAGTGAACAACGGGTTGTAGCAGATTCCCATCCAGAACAGGACGAGGAGACTGCCCAGGTCAGACAAGGTCAAGCCGAAGAGAGAGACGTTGACAGTTTCCCTGAAGCCCATCCTGTAGAAGACGACAAGACTGATGATGTTAGTGACGATCCCGAATGCGCTGAAGGCTTCGTAGAAGCCACACTTCAGAACGACAAACCAAAACTGTGCGGTGTTGTCGTCGATCAGTTTCATGAATATGTATTGCGACTCTCCCAGAGTTTCGTTTTGGGATACGTTGATTGCTCTAGATAAAAGCATTTCCTCTCTAAACAACATGTTGGACAAATACCTTGTTGGTGTAACGGTTCTTGACAAATGTTTTTGAAAGTAGAAAAGAAGTTATTACTTCCTTGCCGAAGTTGGGAACAGGAAAATCTGAAGACAAAACACATAAGCTTAGATATGGTAACCATGAACGCATTTGGTGTTTTCTTTTTGTACGTCATTGTAATATTATATTAAAACTAAAACAATGATTCTAATAATCAGCAAAATATTACATGAGGGAGGGAGAAAGAGAGAAAAAGAGAGAAAGAGGGAGAGAGAGAGAGAGAGAGAGAGAGAGAGAGAGAGAGAGAGAGAGAGAGAGAGAGAGAGAGAGAGAGAGAGAGAAAGAGAGAGAGAGAGGGGGGGGTAAAAAAAACCACGAGTGTAAACGATTGTGATATATAAGAGACCACTGGCCTCTGCCGTATACCAAGTATCCTAAACCCCCACGACAGGAACAAGACTCTGACTCTGTTGTTTGGGATAGAGATGCGAACTCAAACTTCAGTTAGACCGTTCAGACATTTTTATCTTCATGAAATAATATAATTATAGAGCACTTAGTTAGTTTACCCTTGTATCATTATGTACCGGGTGACAGATTGCACTGGCTTCTACTTCTAGCAAGGATTTCATGAACTAGACATGCATGAGGGGGTTGGCTTACCACCCAATGGGCTTGGTCTCGTTAAAAGATGTTAAAATCGCAGCTAGATCTATCAATATTACCTTGCGGTCTTCATTGGTCATTGTGTAGGTTAACGCCCATTTCAACATTGCAAGATCATTTACTAGATGAGACCTCCGAATTTAACGACGATCTCTTATGGAGCTTTCTCAGATTATGGGTCAAGAGCCTTGAAACCTCCTCAAAATGGCCCAAGTTCAAAATGACCCCATCGGGCATTCGAACCTGGGCAGTCGGCTCTGTAGTCCAGCATGATACCAACAGAGCTAAGGGAGCGCCCCGTGCTGTCCTCAGAGCTGTGATATGCCTATACCAAACTATACTACGACAAAATGGCTACGAAGTGCGCTTACAGTTTGTTTTTACTTTAACATTTATCGAATAAATGCTCTGTCTACTATTTTGCAGCTCCTTATCTCAGGACATTTCTTGTTGTTGTTGTTGTTGTTGTTGTTGTTGTTGTTGTTGTTCCTGTTTCTGTTGTTGTTGTTGCTGTTGTTTTTGCTGTTGTTTTAAATTAGGTGTTTTCAAGCTCCCCTCGACATAATTCAAGTCAAATAGGAAGAAGCCGGCTTCAAGCCTGGATGTTAGGGCCAACCTGGGATAACTAAGGGAAACACAAAGTTCTAACAGAACGGCCGAGATACTCGACAAAAAGTCTCCCCACACGGGAATCAAAATTAGGCCTCCTTCCAGCGACAGCGAAACACCTAACCACTACACTACAGACGTCGATGTAGGCGTCTGTGAATATTCAGACAGGTTGATAGCTACAGAAATAATGAATAAAGCCAGCTGAAAACTCAGATTTGAACTCAATGCTGTTTGTTGTTACTTTCTTGGCCAATATGTGAGTGTTCGAGGCTTGAACAGTTCAGATTCATCCAGTTTTACCACGTATGGTTTTCCCCCAAGCACACTGTCTCCTATGAATCTATGATTCATTTTCCAGAATGTATGTTTTGGTGTCTTTTTAGATTTTTAAAGTTTATCATTATTCCAAACGCCTAAAAGGACTAAGAACAAGTATTTAAAATATCCAGCCGCCTAGCTGAAAAGCAGTAAAAATAAATAAATGCTCAGATGAGTAGTGAAAAACTGAATATAAAAACAACTTTTCTTTGAATTTTCGTGCTTAACGTTTGAAATGGTCAAAAAATTATTCGAATTGAAGAGGCATTCTGACACTATCAGGGCTGAATTTTTTTCTCTCCACAAAACTTATATGTTTCTGTAAAAAGTTATATGGACCTTGAGAGTTATCTTGACATTGTGTGCAACTTAAACTTGGCACTGCAACATTGCCTTGTTACGTTTAGTTATTTAAACTTGAACGATTCACAGAAATGATTGCATTAAAGAGTGATAATAATGATTTTCTAACTCCAGATTTTTTTTTACCTGAAAGTGTTTAGAATTCCAGAGCACAGCGGCAACTCGATAACCTTTCATGGCTTGAGAGAGGAATAATGTATAGAAAGTGACTTGAATTAAACGCAAAAAAAATCCAGATATCTCGCAATTTACCTTACAGTCTCCCAATCCCAACCTACTCAGAAAGATTTTAGGAGACAGCTAAAAAAAAAAGATCCCCTGGCCCACGAACGATTAAAAACTATTATACAGATCATGCACACTCCACCATTGATTCCTGGCGCTAGTTCGAGGCCATAGTTTGGAAATGGTCTGTTGTTGAGTCACCTGAGTAATGTATAATTATTTAATACATAAACTATTATCGGTCTCTTCTCTGAACCCGAATAAAAATACTAGAAGAGTTCCTAGGTCGACATCTTTTGATACTTTCTGGTATTTCAAAAATGTAACAGAATTAAGTGATCACAAAATGAACTTAATAACCGTTGAATAACTTTGATAATAATGTTATTTTTAAATACCCCGTGAATAACAGATATAAAAACATTTTAATCCTATAGAGTGGGCATTTATTTGGTTGCAATAAAAAAAGAGAGATTGCCATGATAGTGCGAACATCGGTCTATTTCTTAGTCCAGAACAACGCCATCTTTCGTAATGTGTTAAAAGGTAATTGATTGGGGCCAAAACCGTGATCGGGGGAGACTGAAATTTATTGAACATCTGTAACCGAAATCAATCCCCCAAAGCGCTATACTTGTTTTTGTAAGTCTTTTCGTTTTTAATAACTTGCTAAGAAAACTGTTATCTTTTCTCTCCCAGTGATTAAAAGTAAACGTCCTGCTTAATGGGTCATTTTAAGTTAAATACAATAAAAACTATAAAGTCCTTTGGGATTCTCTCTTTCTCTAAAATTATAGCCGATATCTGTCGAATAGCTAGTATCCCAGGGGAGCTCAAAAACGTTCATTAAAGTGTAGCGAATAAAGAATAAGATAATTATAATGGGCGAAGCCGGCAGAATGCGCAAAGACAATCAGTATAGTGTAATACTGTTGCCATAGTCAGGACAACGTTAAGGGCTATGCTTATTGTTCTGCTTCAGTTCTCTTAGATGAAAAGTGTAAACGGCAAAAAGGCTGCAACGTTATGTGTGCTCCATTTCAGAGAAATTGTACTTTGAAGTTAACAGCTCAGTTAGGGAATTTGTAGAGGCGCGTGGGCCTCGAGGATACGTGACTATAAACGAGCACTTTAACTTTAGGCATTGGAAGAAACTCTTTACTGATATCTCTTGTAATAATCATCTAAAACTCCATCAATTTCCAAGCAGCCGTAGGCAAGTAAAAGAACTGACGGAGACTGTATGACATGCCCCTTTGTAAAAACAAAATTATAACGTCTCGCTCAAATAAACCGTGAACCCTACATCTAAAATTGTTTTTGTTTTTGTTAGCCGATTGTTTGTCCAATAGGTTATGGTTCATCAAATAAAAGCCTGCAAGGTCAGTTCATCTCGCCACACTGTCTTTCACGCGAGAAGGTGGTTTGTAGATCTAGCGCGTTCAGTACTTGGTAACGGTTTGAGTTAATCGGGCCCTTATAACATCTCGCTACCTCAAAATTACAAAGTTCTATCAGCTCTGTATTTCGGTTAAAAAAATTTGACGTAAAAGATCTTGAGTTTCACAATAATTATGTCAAGCTTTTGCGAGTGCAAATCTTTGAATATCCTGATAACGACTTCGATTTTGATAGAGCAGGTCGAACATTTGATTTCTGATCTTCTGGTCTTAGTAACTCAAAACGGCCAAAACCGTCAGATAGAACTTCGTAATTCTAAGGCAGGGATTTTTCTGTTTCTCATACGTCAGAACCTCGAAATTCAACCCCATTCTCAGTTAGGTCATATACTTGATAAATTCTCAGTCAACCCGAGTTCACGATCGCCCTATTGGTTATTCGAGCATGAGTCCCGTACCCTATGTCCCAGCAGGATACCAACTGAGCTAACAGCATGCATGGTTTGGCAGTAAAGCTGTTTGTATTAGGGTAACACCGAAAAGAAATAAAGGGAGCATACTGCTGCCGAGCACCCACCAACTACCTACAAAAATACAATAATGACATCGTTGTATTCGGCACGGCAAGGCTGCAGAGACATCAGACGACAAGCTAATACAGACATTTGATAGATAGACAGACAGACAGACAGACAGACAGACAGATAGATAGTAGATAGATAAACACACAGAGAGAGAAAGAGAGAGAGAGAGAGAGAGAGAGAGAGAGAGAGAGAGAGAGAGGGGGGGGGGATTACAGTATCAAGGCTACAGCTTAATGTTGATAATATTCTAAGTAACGATTATTTATTGTATAAAGCCACTCGGTAGATTTTCAGACAACATAGCGCTTTCCTGTTGATAAATGACACTCGCGGTCTTGTTAATACAAATGAAATAACTTCTAAATTTCGTTTGAGCATAATATTACTATATATTATTATGGCACCACATAGATTTTTGCTTAAAGCTCACTGAATCTTGATATTACTTTATACCTTCTTCGCAATAATAGACCACCAAGGAAAAAGAAAATTTGTCACTTCAACGTCTTGCTCTCTTGGGAAAGTCTTAATCTGTGGAACACAAGTTGAAAGACCTTACCATAGTACTGTAGAGGTTGGTACAGAGCTTGCCATTTTTTGTCACACGAGTCGACTGTCGGTGACTAGCAGCGCCTATGGAGGTCTCGAGTAAAAAAGAAAAAAATTGGTAAGAAAATTGGTTTTATCGTTTAAATGATTGCTCTCCGTTCTTGAGGAAGGGGGAACTAATACTCAACTACGCAAAAGTTAATT